GGGAGGCGGTAAAACTAGAAGAAACTTCATTAGAATTTATGCTCACACAACTGCCAAATATAAAAATTCTACCATACCACCCACCATATTTAGCACGGGTTTTGTAAGATGAAGAGGGAGTTAGATGTTGGAAAAGAACTGGCAGACCTTTTAAATCAGTAAATGAACTGCAAAGTATAAGCAAAGATTATTATTATTATCACATGTATTATATATGATACCATCCACTTGTACTGTCTGTCTGTTTTCGACATAAAACAGCCACTTGTACTCCACCACGTTTCCGTCAACCTTCACTTTTTTATGGTTTCCTAGAATTTTATACATCTACATCGTTTATGGAAGGAGCTAAATTATTGCAATATGCATAAAAACGCTGAGAATTTCATTCTGTATAATTCTCATTATTATTGTTGTTGTTTGGAATGAAGTGATTATTATTATAATATTATTATTTAATAAATAAATAAATAAATTCATTAATTAGATGACTGATCGATACTCAAGATGACACAGAAGGGTCAATTGGTGTGTGTGTGTGCCTGTGTGTGAGTGTGTACGTGTATGAGAAGGAATAACTGTGATCAATATTTGAATAGGTAGTAGGTAGGTAGGTAGGGAGGTAGCATGGTAGGTTACAAATAGTTGAAGAATACTCAGGAACTTGTAAGTATATAATGAATAACGGATAATGAGAGGACATCATCATCAAAAAAATACATGTGACATAACAATATTTCAGTTTGTCAAATACTCATCAGCTGACAGATAAACAGCTTTACTGCTCAAGCTGTGTGTCATTTATAGGTAGAAATTTAGTTACTCCTATGGAGAAAACAAAGCTATGTAATGAGGGTTAACAAATAGATAGCTTAATATATTTATACGCTTTACTGAGCACTTCCTTTCGTGATTTGCGAAAGGTCTATTCAGTGTTCGATTTGTGTAGTGTACTATTAGGCGTACTCATGGAATTAACCTTAACTCCATTTTGCATGAGTGGAATTGAATAGATATTTGAATAAAAATCAATATGGGATAATTTACATTCAGAAATGATAAGAATAGTTGACCCCGAGAAGATGAGTAATTTAGAAAAAAGCTCAGCGATTGTACTGCATGCATTAACACACAACTACACAATGCGGTTGGAGAGAGTTAAAATTCTTCGAAGTAATATATACATATATATATATATATATATATATATATTATTTTGATGATAGCTTGACTCCACACCGTATTTTTGGTACAAGTATGGAATTTTCAGCATGTGATATCAGTAGCCCAAATTTTGCAGGCCGACCATTGATATTAGTGTGCATCGTCAGGGAATCGAATCCCGGACCATGTGCATGGTCAGTGAGAGCCATAACCGCGGTGCTACCGACGCAGGCAGGTGGATAGAGAGGTGATTGATAACTGAATCCTGGTTTATTGAGTCTACACGCAACACTTGCAATAGAAATGACTCAATGCAAATACCAGGAATATGTATGGAAGATATTGTTACCACCAGTCAGTCAAATCAGAGGAGGATAATAAATAATCTTAAAATTCTATTTCAATTCAAGCACATCATAACATTCTAACAAGTCACTCATTTATTTTGACTATAAAAACACTCGTCTTATTTCCCATCTGACTGTAATTGATCAATAACACTCATATTTTTATTATTTCAGAATGTAAATTATCCCATATTGATTTTTATTCAAATATCTATTCAATTCCACTCATGTATATAAATGAAGGAAAAAAGTTGTGTGAGTGAGTGAGTGACATGATATGATTATGAGTGGCAATAGTTTGTGCTCGAAACGTGGTCGCATCAGTTAATATTACTGTATAACACTACACTGTGTGACTTCATCAAAATAAAATCTTATGCAAAATGGAGTTATGCTATACCGCCACAGTGCCCAAGTTTTATACTTATATCAATTAACCTTAACTCACTTCAGAGACTCAGGGATTGACTTGTTACCATCAGGGAATAATCCCGTTGACTTAGAATACCCACATGACATAGTCCTCCCTCCTGAGTGAAGACGCTGACAAAATAGACCAGAGTCTTCTGAACACCTTGAGGAGCAGCAATCTGTGTATGTTTGGCATACAATTCTCTCCCCTTGTGAAATGTAAGATGATGCTACAGGACTGACTGGACTACAATGACCCCTAGCTTAGAAATAGAGAGTGGAGTGGTTGGTGGGGCATGCTGACCAACACTTTCGGGTTCATCGCTGACGAAATCTCAGCACGAAGAAAGAAGGCTACTTTCGCATATGCCAATTTACGCTGTCTCTGGCTTAGTAGGCGTGATTTCCAGCTGGCTATCGACCAAAGCGCGGATGTGCTGCTTATCAGTTCGCTCCGTCCTCCTTTATGGCTAGCTGTAAGACCTGGCCACTGAGAGTGGAAGACATGAAAAGACTAGCTGTCTTTGATCATAGGTGCCTGAGTTCTATCTCCCGTGTGAAATGGTATAATAAGGTGAGCAATATTGAGGTTAAGCATCCGTTGAGGGCTACTTGAGTTAAAGGGGAAATCAATCGACGAGGCTGTGAAACTACATCGACTGAGATGGTTAGGACATGTGTTACGCATGCATGCCTAGTCATCGATCGCCTTCCTCGACCGACGAGCAATGTTAGCTGACATAGGATGAATCAGGTTAAAAAAGAGCCAGTGATGGTCAAAATAAAACATAGCTTCAACAGTCAGTGAAATCCATAACAGATAGTTTGAAACAGCCATGTGAGGAGGCGTAGATTGTGTGGGCGGTTGGAGTTCTCTAGATGGTAAGAACCAATGACGGCTGGAGACAATTATCGGTGATGTGGCTCATTCTAAGTCAGTGATGGTGCAGATGCGTTCACTCTTTGTGATTTGCCATAATCCATTGATTGAATGGATTGGACAAACACTAAAGAGTGCCAGGCCACCACTCGAGTGGAACGCGGGCGGGAAACGACGAGTGGGGCGTTTTGTCCGAGAGTGACATCGTAGAAATTGTGTCAGGAAGAGATGAAAGACTATGGGCAATCTTGGAGTCAGCCAGCCAGCCAGACACCTAAAAAGGATTGCAGAAAATTAGGCAAAGTGGAGATGTGCTCAGTTTGAAGTCCTATGTTCGACACGAAATCCAAACTGAATGAAGGTAGTCACATTCCACTGAATTTTCTTTTGCTCAGAATAAAGTGGGTCTTCAATCTATCAATCGTATAAGCATATAATAATATAGAAACAATTCCCAAAACCTTGGCCATCGTTATATGGATGTATAAACCGGGTTAGTCCACGCCCCTCCCCCTAAACCTTTTAAAATTATAATTGTCCAAATTATTTCATCTTTTCTGACTACTTCAACTTTAATTACGTGTGATCCTTGTATAATTATTTTATTCTTATGATCACTTCAACCTTAGTTACAAATTACCATTGTCCAAATCGTTTTATTTTCTTTAACAATCTGTTACGTAATCACTCTGTGCACACGCTTATTCCTTAATTACTCTTCATTTTTTTCCCAAAATTATGCATTATGCGATCCACTTGTTGTATATGTGTTTATCGATTCACCTGCTTGTGTGGAGCATCTGTATCCGGCTCATCTGTATTGCTGAAGCCATCTTTGGCTATCGAAACAGAAAAGCCAGATCTCTGTGTACAGAAAAAGTTCGTTCAACCCCTCCAACTTTCATGGTCTTAATCCCTCTATGCTAAAATATGGTAATCCCCAATCATATTTTAGCTCTACCAATTTTTCATTTTTTTCATTTTGTCTATTCCATGTGTATACTCATCCTTATTAAGTCAATTGTGACTATTATTACTATTCTCACTTTGAACTGTCCCCGGTATTATTTCACTTGTTCCACTTGTCATTCTAAATGAATTCTTCTTTTTTTACAACGATAAATTCTACGTTATCAAATTTCACACAATATTACGTAACATTTTTAGTTTATTCGATTTGTCTACTAACCCTATAATTGCACACCCTTTCCAAGCTCCATCCATTATATGAATTATTCTATATATGACATTAATTGTTTTGCAACTTGATATTTAACTATGAGTATAATCACAAACACTTTAATTGCATTTCATACTACTATTATTATTATTTTATGCATTCACACGTATGATTCAATTCCCTCACAGGATATTTATTTATTTATTTAAACGCAGGAAAAAACTTGGTATAATACTGCACCAAGAAAGATGCGCCACATTAAATTTCATTTGTTGTGTGAGAGCTGAGATACTGCTCAGGCGCCCAGATAGAAGCAGGTGGTTTTATTAAGGGACCACCCCCGAGCCTTTGACTTGGAGTCTAATCCGCAAGGCAGCGGAGCAGCATCAGGGGCTGCATTCACATGGTTTCCGGTGACTCATGTGGGTTCACACGTCATTTGATCTCATTGGAGCCCATGTACCCCGTGGTAACCGCTGTCCAAACAACCTTCCTGACATGGCAGGACCTGCAGGGACATGAGTCCTAGACAGTTCAGCTTGTTGGGTCACTGCAGTATTCAAGCCCGACCACCACGACAAGGTAGGAGATGTCGGCCGGGATATAACTTCTTAAAAACAGTATATATACGATTGTACAGCTTGATAATAAATTCATTGTTGAAGAGAGTCTCTTCGCTGAGACACTTGTTTTGATTTTCTATATGTTACAATGGGAATTTTCCATAAGTAACCATTTCTGCCTTTTAATTGTGTGTATTAATTTTCTCCATTAATTATCACCATCGCCTTGACATGTTGACACTGACTCATTAATTATTGTTAACAAACATATCAGTGCCACTGGCTGATTGGTAAATTGCTGTGTATTGTAATAAAAATGCTATACGTGTATATTAGAGTAGAGCCAGGGTGAGATGAGGATCTAATTGAAAAGTAAATATTTCTTCGCTCAATCTTTCTGTTTTCTAAATAATAATAATAATAAAATTAGGTAATTGAACATTAAAATTACTCACCGAGTTGTCATGATTATTTAACAATTGACCACAGGTATCACCATCATTACCATTTTGAATGTCAATATCATTAATATGATTATCATGACCATTATTATTATTATTATTGTCATCACCACCATTACTACTACTACCATTGAAGTTATCAGTAGTGGTATGATTACGTAAGAATGTACTCGTTGTACTACTTGTTGAATCAGATAACAACTTCAGTGAATACCAATTCAGACGACATTGAGCATCTGTCAATACACTGACTAACTGAGCTTCAGAGTCAGCCAAACACGTTGCAAAGCATAACTCAAATTCACAAATCGCCAAACGAAATGATACTTCACAGAGGCTAAGTGAAAAGAAATTTTAGGGAAAGATAAAGCTGAGATCATTATGAGACAAAACGGGATGCAGACGAACAACTGTTACTACACTGGAACTTTACCGAACTATATGCGTCAATCGCTCTTCTGGAAACTCTGGGACATTGGTTTTGCCGGTGTGACTAACTATGCGTTGCAACTATGTCGTCTACTGGCAACACGAATGAGCACGTTAATGCCAGTCAGAATAGATAGGGCACGACAGATCTTCGTTTTTGAATACGAGTCATGCAATGGAGACACCGTGAAATCCTTCTTCTCAAACACTTGAAACCTGATTTATGTCTTCAGAAGGCGACAGTTATCAATCTTTCCTTGCCTGGATGTCTTTACTGTTTCTTTTATATCTGATTACGTAATCTCTGGCTTTAATCCTTTCCACTTGGTTATAATGAAAAATTTCTGGCCTATCTCTTGGTTCTATGTTTTGGAGTTAAACTCACTAAATTAGTGACTCATCATTTTATCCACCGATTGTCATTATGGCATTGGCATAACCCCTTTGCCACTGTATTCAAGCATTTATTTTTTGTTTGTCGTAGAATTTCCAAACATCACCCTGCACAGTGGTTGGTTAAGTAAAGGACAAATAAAATCTATTCGTGGCGCTATTCCATCTCATCTTATGGGTAAAGAACACAAGATTGATGTTAAAAAGGTGGCTTTCAGGGTCGTTTACCGCATACCAACGAATCTCGATGTCACCTTCAGAGTTCGACTACTAAATATTGCTGAAGCTGGCTGTTGGGATCCACATTAAGAAGCCTAATTTATGCGTCCAAAAGGAGTTAGTTCAGACATTATCCTTACCTTGGCCATCTAGGTTTCGATGACCCTCAATTTTTGCGGAAATTCCCTGATTTAAGTTGATATTCTATTTGCTATTATATCTTTATTGTCATTATAATAATTTAAGCATCTTTTGATGAACTGTAATTCTACGAGTTGATCACGGATTGATATCAGTTAGAGAACCATTGAAAACCAGGGAGTACTGGACAGCTGCTGTTTCATCCTAGTTTGGGAATCATCGGCAGTACGCACCCACTGGGTTTCGAACCCAGTGTGGTGAGAGCAGGCTGCTAGCCGATTGGTTGGCACTAATCTACGTTAATGTCTAGGTCACTAATATTGACCGTGAACAAGGCTGTTTCAACAACCAATCACAGCAAACCTAAATGTGGACAAATATGATTCGCAGATAGATGGCTCTACTTTCCGAGAAATATCGAACACAACCAATCATAAGACTGTGTTTGTCTGCTTAACTTCCGAGAAACAACCAATCAGAAGACTGCCTTTTTCTGCTTGCATAAGCCTTATTAATGCATATAAAATATATATAAATACGTGTTGATTTTCGTAATAAAACGATCTGTTGCCAGCCCTTGTCTTCTGTTGTTACATTTGGTGTCGCTGCCTCCAAGAAGATGAAGATCCCGTGGCCAGCTGCGTTTGAAGAAGGTGACATACGGAGCTTCTTACGTGACTTCGAGCCGTTGCTGAGCTGGTGGGTGTCAAGGAGCAGGCGGCGAAGGCAGTTGTCCTGGGGACGCTGTTGAGAGGCCGAGCGAAGGCTGCATATGACAGCGTAGACAGGTCAAATGGCACAGCGTCTTGGAAGAAATTGGTTGAACGACTAGTGTCCGAGTTTGACAGCGAAACAGACAGACAGCTAGCAATGCAGCAGTTCCGGTCAATGAAGCTTGGACCTGATGGAGACCCGCTAGTGTTGGCGGTGAAACTGACTAATCTACTTCGACGCGCGCTTCCCACTTTAGATGAAGAATCAGAAGCGCAGTTACTGTCTTCCCAATTCATCGAGAGTGTCCCCGACCACATTTCTCAGCGATTAAAACTGGTTAACGCAACGCAGCCGATGGATATTAGTGAGCTGGCGAAGGTGACCAGACAGCTGCTGAGCACAACGGTAGCCGCTATAGACCAACCAAAACCAAACGAATATGAGCAAAAATTGAAGCATTGCAGCGGGAAGTGGCGGCGTTAAAGTTGGCTGATAGAAAAGACCGGTGTTTTGAATGCGGTAAGCCGGGACACTGGAGAAGATACTGCCCAGAAAGGCGAAAAAGAAAAAATTTCAGACGGTATAATGCTTGTTCTTTCTTTCGTATGAACCTAGGTTTAGTGGGGGCTATTGAGAAAGGCGCTCTGTATTCGAAGTTGCGAGTGAATGATCGAGAAGTAGTATGTTTGATAGATACAGGGCGGCCGTGTCGTTAATAGATAAGAATTTATGTAAGAGTGTTAATCCGTGTTCATTGACAGTACAAACAGTAGGCGGGTATGTGTTGCGTATCACGGGTAGATCGAACTGTACGGTCGTTGTTGGTGGCTGCGAGGTGACGTTTCCTTTCATTGTTGTACCCGAACTACAGCGAACGATATTAGGAGCGGATTTTCTGCGTGAGATTGGTGCCATAATCGACACGCAAGCGAACGTGGTGATCACGAAATACGGGCATATCAACATGTATGAGACCAGCGAGATAGCAGCGATTAAGCTGTCGACGGTACACAATGTGACAGAGTTAATTAATAAATACGATCATCTGTTCACTGGAGATGGGACCCATACGGTTATTGCGATAAGGTGAATCATGAAATTCCGTTAAGTGATCCTAAAGTAAGGTCATTTTTAACGCGAAGAGTTCCATGTCATCTGGAAGGCGAAGTGGAGCGACAAGTGCAAGAGATGTTAAAAGATGATATTATTGAGGAAGCTGATAGCCCATACAACTCTCCAGTGCTGTTAGTAAAAAAAGCGAATGGGAAATATAGATTCTGTGTTGATTTCCGACAGTTAAACAGTATGACAGAGTTAAGACCGTGTGCCATGCCAACAGTGATAGAAACTTAGATCGCCTACAAGGTGCGAATGTGTTTTCGGTTCTCGATCTTCGCTCAGGATACTGGCAGATACCGATAAAACAAGTGACAGAGATAAGACGGCTTTCATCGTGGGTCAGACGCAATATCGATTTAAACGCATGCCGTTTGGACTAGCAGGTGCACCGTTTACGTTCAGACGACTGATGAAGCTATTACTTAGAACTTGAAAAACGTGGAGGTTTATGGTGATGATCTCGTCATATACAGTCAAACGAAAACGATCACGTCAACCATGTAGAAGCCGTGCTGCGACGCATCGAAGAGTTTGGACTACGCGTCAACAAAACCAAGTCTCAGATAGCCAAAAAGAATGTTACTCTGTTGGGACATAAAGTGGGAAATGGTGAGATTAAACCACTGCCGGAGAAAATTTTGACGATTAAAACGATTCCAGCCCCGAATTCAAAGAGAAAACTGAGACAATTCTTGGGTAGAGCAGCGTTTTATAGTCGCTTCGTGAAGAACTTCAATGAGATAGCAGCCCCTCTATACAGGCTACTAGGTGAGCCAAAGTTTGTTTGGTCGGAAGAATCGCAGAGGACATTCGACAGAATTAAACAGCTGCTCGACCACCAACAAATGACGCTAAAACTACCTGTGCCAGGAAGACAGTTCACAGTGTGCACAGATGCCAGTGACTACGCTATAGGTGCGGTCCTAAGACAGGACGAGGGAATCGTTGAGTATGCCAGTAGGGTTTTGACCCTCACAGAGAGAAAGTATTCAACGATAGAGAAAGAATGTTTAGCAATGGTATGGGCAGTCGACAAATGGAGACCTTATTTACTCGGCCGGCGGTTCCACATCGAAACTGATCATAAGCCGCTACAATTTTTGAAGACAGCGAGAGACCCACGGGGGAAGTTGTCACGGTGGATGTTGCGTCTTCAGGAATACGATTTTACGATCTCACACGTTCCTGGAAGTGAAAATGTCTTGGCAGATTTGTTATCGAGACCAGAAGATGAGTCTGAGTTGCCCGAGGTCGCTTACGGAGTGCATGCAGTAGAACAAGACCCACTAAGACTTGCACGTAGGCAGAGGTTGGACGATACGCTGAATACAGTAATACAGGTGATCACCAACGGAATAGAAGTGGATCAAACTACGGCGAGTAAGGAGCTAACCACACTACTCAGACAGAGGGATCGACTCAGAGTGAATGCCTACGGGACTCTGACCTGGCGAGAGAACGACGGAAGCTGGCTGGCTGTCATACCTCAATCGTCGCGCCACGACATGATAGAAGAATGTCACCAGCTAGCGCATACAGGCGTGGCCAGAACGACCGACCTCCTAAGACAAAGTATGTACTGGCCAGGTATGAGAGAAGACGTAGCAAGATACGTACTTGGATGTCCACGGTGCCAGCTGATGAAAGGTGACCGGTATATACGACCACCACTTCAGTCGATTCCAGTTACCGCGATAGGTGACTTGTGGTCCGTAGATGTCATGGGTCCATTTCCTCAGACATCCAATGGTAATCAGTACCTCTTGGTGATGACGGAACACGCGACACGATGGGTAGACGCCGTAGCAATCCCAGACCAACGTGCAAGAACCGTGACAGATGCAGTAGTTAGACACATTGTTGCAGACCACGGCGTACCGAAGACAATACTGACAGACCAAGGTCCCTGTTTCGAGAGTGAAGAGTTTACTTCCCGTTTGCAACAGCTGGGCATCAAGAGGATCAGAACGACCCCATACCATCCACAAACGAATGGCCTAACGGAGAGAAACAACCGTACACTGAAAGAGTGGCTGGCTTCGAAGGGCGGGAACTGGGAAACGGAGCTTCCACTGATTTTACTAACACATCGGGCTACCACTCAGGAAACAACGAAGAAGTCACCCTTCCAACTGATGTATGGCAGAAAACCACGATTACCGGTACACAATGAGACCTGGCCCATGCACCAAAAGTGGAGTACGACGAAATTAAAAGCAGAGAGGAAAGAGGCAGTCAAGAATGTAATACGGAAGCAGCGCAGTGATGTCACGAAGTCTCAGATGAAAGAAAGGACGCAGTGCATTACTTTTGCAGTCGGGG